CCTTTTGTAAAGAGCCAAAAAGTCATCCCAAACATACTAGTTTTTTTTACATTATATTTTAACCAAAAAGTCAAAAAGTTACTAAAATAACTTGTTCCCAAACGAGGCCTAAGTGAACAAAACAAGAATGTACAAAATAAAAAATAAAAAAAAGACAAGTAAATTCAAAAAATGTTATGTTTTACTCAAATGAGAATGACGAGTTGGAAGAGTGTTAATTTAGTCATGAGACTATTAATTTCGTCTTTAAATGATCCCATCTTTGTTTCGCAATTATCAATACACAAATTGGATTATTTTTGTAAAATCATATTTACTCTATTTCTTCGAAATACCATGCAACAAAATACAAGTCAATTATTTTGACAATATTTAATAAAATATAAAATACAATCAATTATAACAAAGTACTGTCTCCAAATACAATCAAATTAAGAAAATCATGTGAGCAAATATTTTTATATCAACTGTAAAAAAATATTAATTCCATTGATGATTTAAATAAAATAAATTAATGTTAATAGTTTAACTCATTAATCATTTAAATTAATAATTTTTGAATAAAGTAACACAAGCATTAGAGTCTGAGGTGACAAAGTCAAGTTTTTCCAAAAAAGAAGTCCACAATTTGGACATTTTTGTTGACCTCTGAAACGTTTGTTGTTAAACATTTGTTGTATTTAAATAATTTATTAAAGATAAAATAAATTAAAATAGTTAATAAAATAAACAACCCCGCTATAGACCCCCAGTGACTTGCGACCCCCAGTGACACGGCAGCTAATGTGTAAACACAGCTAGAAAAAAAAAACAAACAAACAAACAAACAAACAAAATCTGGAAAAAGCGGGAACCAAACCTGTTGCTCGTCTATCCACACCTCTCGCCACCATCCTCGTCTATCCTCGTCTTCCCTCGTCTATCCTTATCTCTCGCCGCCATCCTCCTCCTCCACCGACGATGGCCATAGCTCGCCGGAATTTCTGCAAAAGTGTATTCTGGACAACGGCCATAGCTCGACGGGAATTTCGACGACGGCTAAAGTTTTGAGCAATATCAGATTACTGTGCCTCCAATACACTTTTGAATGGTAATATCTCCATAGCTCGCTCTCATCTATCCTCAATCTTCGTCACTCTCAGCAATTTGGTTGTCCTCTATCCATTAATCTGTAGAAAAATTTATAGTTTTGTGCCCCTATAGGTAGTAAACTGAATGGAGATAATTAATTGTTGTTGTTCACAATTTTCAGGAACTACTTTCAGTTGAAACAATCAGGGGAAAACAAGTGTTGGGTGTAAAGAGATATCGTTTTCTTTTTGTTTAGCTCACTGCAGAGGCATTATAAATTTTCTACCAAAGTATATGTTGAGATATGATGAGTTTTTCCCTGAAAACTTTCAAGTAGATATGCTAGTTGAAGCAAATGGAATGGAACCTAAGGCATTATGTCATATCCAAATCCATTGGGTTTTTTGGTTTTATTACCCTATTGCCTTTGTAGTATAACTTCATTCGTACGCCCTATTGATGATATATCACCTAGAATGTTCTGTAGGGGTTTGATCTGGATTGGAGTCTGTTATGTGATTAAAACATCTTAATTGTGTCAGGCAATTCAGATTTTGTAATGAGCTTTTCGCAGTTCACAAGTAAATTTATCTGAAAAATGTTGAAGACTTACTTATAGACTCTGTAGGTACTAATACTATTTCATGTGATATTGAATTATTGGATCCTCTTCGCCTGTTAATTGGTGGTGACTCCTTTGAAATTCAAATTGTTAGGTGCTTTAGATCATTCACTGTAATCCAGCTCAGAATTGTGTTCTTCAGCTCCTTCTAGTATATCATTAAGGATCAATGTGCAGGTTTCTGTAATGGCAGTGGGATGTTTCTCATTTTGGTGCACCATTAGTTTTGAACCCTTACATACAATTATTGCCTCTTTTACAGTTCATTTGCTTCAATCAAGTTTATTTTCTCTGTGCTGCAAGTTAATTGTTCCAATAGCTGTATTTGTTTAATTGTTATTTCAGTACGCAAAGTGGAAGAATGGAGGTTGATTCAAATGTTGGTGAGAATCCTTTAATACATGAGGGCGAAGACGTTGAAGAACCTAAAAAGGGTATGTGTTTTAGCTCAAGGGAAGAGGTGTACACATTTTATGGCAAATATGCTAAGCATGTTGGATTTTCTATAGCTCATAGAGCACAACATTTTAGAGATGATGGGCAATTGCTAAACTTTGCAATTGAATGTTCTCGAGCGGGGTAGAGAAAAAAGAAATCAGAAGTCAACCCTCTGAAGCCATGTTTGTCCACAAAGATTGGTTGCACAGCAAGGGTATGAGGTAGTGTACAAAAGGATGGGAGATATAAACTAACCACAGTTAACCTTGAGCATAATCATGATTTGATTCCCACCGGCTCACATCATTTTTCAATGAATAAGAAAATTCTTACTCCTGTGAAAAGAATATTAGAAATTAATGATCAAGCAAACATTGGGGTGTCTAGGAACTTTCATTCAATGGTTGTTGAAGCGGGGGGATACGAGTCATTGACATTTGACGAGCGAGATGCAAGAAATTACATTGAGAGAGCTAGAAGGTTGAGGTTTGGGGAAGGTGATGCCAAATCATTTCAAAGTTATTTTATGAGGATGCAAGCACATAGTGAGAGATTTTTTTATGTGATTGATGTTGATGAGGAGTTTCGCATTAGAAACTTGTTTTGGACTGATGCAAGGAGTCGGGCGACTTATGAAGCATTTGGAGATGTCGTTTCATTTGACACAACTTATTTGACGAACAAATATGACATACCATTTGCTCTATTTGTCAGAGTTAATCACCATGGACAGTCCATTTTGCTTGGTTGTGGATTGTTGTCTAGTGAAGACACTAACACATTTGTTTGGCTATTCAAGTCATGGTTAAGTTGCATGTCAAATCATCCGTCAAAAATTATCATAACTGATCAGTATAGAGCTATGCAAAATGCTATAGAAATTGTGTTTCCATAAGCTTGACATCGGTGGTGCTTATGGCATATCATGAAGAAAATTCAGGAGAAGTTGAAAGGATATGCTCAGTATGAAGCCATAAAGTTGGCTATGCAAAATGCAGTTTATGACTGTTTGACAAGAGTTGAATTTGAGAGTAAATGGGAAGAGATGCTTGAAACATTCAATCTTTATGATAATGAGCGGCTGGGGGTACTATATGATGAGCGGAATCAATGGGTACCTGTCTATGTTAAAGGCATTTTTTGGGTTGGCATGTCAACTACACAACGAAGTGAAAGTATGAATGCATTTTTTGATGGATATGTAAATCCAAAAACTACATTGAAGCAATTCGTTGAACAATATGACAATACCTTGAGAAATAAGGTAAAAAAAGAGAAGAAAGCAGATTTCAAGTCTCGACACAAATTATTTGATTGCCTAACTATATATAGTTTTGAGAAGTAATTTCAGCAAGCCTACACCAATGCGAAATTCAAAGAAGTTCAAGGAGAGTTGAAGAGATTAGTTTACTGTCAGGCGGTGATTGTGAAAGAGGAGGGATCAGTTTCTACATATAATGTCCAAGAAGCAATGGTAGTTTGTGAGAAGATGAAGCATGTGGACTTTGTTGTCTATTTTAATTCAACTAAATGTGAAGTTCAATGCATGTGTCGGTTGTTTGAGTTTAGAGGCATTATGTGTGCTCACTCACTTGCTGTGCTTGTCAGAAGATGCATAAATGATGTGTCAAATAAATACATTTTGCCCCGGTGGAGAAAAGATGTGGAAAGAAAATACGCATGCATCAAAACCGCATACACCGGCTTTGGGAATGATTTCAATGCAAGTACCTATGAGAGGATGAACAAAAAATTGATTGCCATTGTACAACTTACTGGTAACTCTGAAAGCAAAACTAGAATTATAGACCTTGGGTTGGATGAAATCAATGAGAGAGTCATGAAAGAAGAATCCGGTGATGGGAGTAATTTACCATGTTCCACAAAAAGTTCGATTCACACCGGTTCTACACAAGGATGTACTAGTAGGAAGGTGATTAGTCATTTGGTTGCTCGGCGAAGAGGTCGTCCAGTTACGAAACGAAAGGTTGCCAAAGTAGATCAAATTGTTAATCGGTTCAAGGCAACGAAAAAAAAACAAACAAAAGCAAAGGTAAAATGTGTATTCAATTTTTTTTTTTACAAACTCTATTCAAGTATGTAAAAGCAATTCATAAATTTCAATCTTCAATTATTTTTCAAAACATACAAGCTGCTAAGTTGCTTCGATTTGACGCTGAAGCTCAAGCTCAAGCTCAAGCTCAAACACCGTATTATCCTTATATGGTTGGCACACAAAATAGTATGTATGTACCGGTATGTGTTCCAAAGAGGCCTTCATGTACTTTTACAAAGTGTATTCGAAAGAGGACTTCATGTACTTTTACAAAGTGTATTATTCTAACATGTACTTTTTGCAATGAATTGTCATAGGTGGCCCATAGTATTGGAGGCACGTCTCTTACTCCATCAGACTTCATAAGTGGCACACAGGGAAGTTTGATGAGTGCTCCAACTCAGATTTATGGTTCTGCATCTCTAACCCCACCAGCTTCTCATGCATGCACACTAGGAAGCTTGGATATTACAGACTTGTTTGACTAGTTTCTATGTATTCCAACTGTTTGTTTTTGAGGTTGGAAATTATGTAGTCTATTAATCTGAGTTTCAAACTTTGTTTTTGAGATTGTAGCTTATGTTACAACTTTGTTATTGACATTCAGCATGTGGATTTGTAAAACATGTGGTGTACTAATTATTAATGAAGTTATGTTATTATTATTATTTGTTATGTAATGAAGATGTTGCAATATTTAGTAATGAACAATGTTTATTTAGCAGTTCTTCGTATTGAACAATGTTTATTGAATAGTTTTCATGTATTCAACCATGTGTATTCAATAGTTTTCCTGTGATGAACAATGTATATTCAGTAATTTTCCTATATTTAACAATGTATATTAAATTGTTTCACTGTATTCAATCATGTATATTCAATAATTACCTGTATTCAACAATAGTTACCTTGTATTCAACAGTTTCCTGTATTTAACAAAGTCGATTCAATGAGTATTGAAGAAAGTATACAAGTTTGAACAAGTCATTTTCCATTCCATTCACCACAAAAAAGGTACAATAATTAGGTTTCAATACACAACAAAACATAACTTCCTCGAAAACATCACAAAAGTATTCAGTTTACTTGAACTTGTACATTGACATCTACTTTTACTTCTAACTTACGTATATGTATATATGTGTTATTACATATTCATAAGTTTAAAGAAACCAATTACAAGCAACACGGACAATATACATATCAACTTTTGCATCTTTGCGTTCTGAATTCGAAGTTATTCCGTCATCTCTATGTGTTGTTCGGTCATAGCTCGAAGTTGTTCGGTTATAACTTGTTCGCCGACAGTTGGCACTTCGTCTCTTGGAATTTGATGACCTCTATATTCTGGATTCGTAGGTAAACACCATCCGATAAAATCACAATTATTACAAGAGTAGAATAGCTTGTTTTTGTTTCGATCAGTTTGTGATATTAAAATGGTGGCCTTTTTATTACATGTACGACAATTTCTGTTGATGTATGTCAACCAATCTGAGCTACTGCCACTGACACTTGAACTTGACATCTGCAAAAAGGGACAAATATTAACATGACAGCACTTGCATATATTCATTATGAAGCATATTAAAAATAAAAACCAACAAGAAATTTTCAAACCAGGCACACTTCATCCAATCAAAGGAACACATTTATCATAGTACTAGTCTTAAAGTTAATAAAAAATAGTTCACAGAGAGGAAATGGAGCTGTCATTCTCAGATTGTCACGCTGCTGCTGCTGCTGAGAGATGGAGTTCGAGTGATGGGTTTCAAGGTGCACTACCTTTTGCATAAGCTCAGAATCAGAATCACCCTTGGAGGTGATTCTAAAAATCAGCTTATTTACCCTCCAAAAAAGCTATTATAAGTTGTACTTGGTGTCATAAAGCTGTAACAAACAATTAGATTCTGCTTTATTTAAGCTAAAATCTATAAGTTGAGTAGAATATGGGCAGTAACAGTATGGAATTAGAAGTTAAAAAGAGGTGTGGTGATGGCTTATGAGGACAAAAGTGTCATTTTAATCAATGGAACAATAAATGTACGTGGAACCATAGAATTGGTTTGTGATATTAACTACTCATTTATTTTTGCACTTCTGAAATTTATCTCCTTGGATAAATAAATCTTTAAAAGCTATTCGTGCTTCATAATGCTATTTAAATTCTTACAGGGACAGGGTGCTTGTAACTTCATTCAATCATTAGATGCTACTAGCACTCATTCAGATAGAAGTGTTATTTCTCAGTCTATATTGACCAATTGTCATAACACTAGCCCCTCAAGCAGTGACTTAGTTGAGGATGGGGATTTCAGCCAACAAGGGACAGGGTGTTCATAAAAATGATCAAGTAAAACCTGTAAAACTTGTTTCATAAAAAATCTGGACAGGTTTCAAGTAAAATCTGGACTTGTAAAACCTGTTTCATAAAAAATCTGGACCTGTAAAACCTGTTTCATAAAAATCTGGACAAGGGACAGGGACAGGGTGTTCATAAAAAATCTGGACACATTAGTCTTCAAAATGATCAAGTAAAACCTGTTTCATTTTAGAAGATAGATAGATAGATAGATAGATAGATAGATACAAGTTTTCATTATTTACCTTTTTATTTAATGGGAAAACCTGTTTCATAGATACATGTTTCATAGATTATGAACAGGTTTATGAAATTATGAAAACCAAGATTATGTTTCATAATCTTGGATCCATCTTGTTATGTTTCATAGATACAGGTTTCATACATTATGAACAGGTTTAACATGCGTACAATTAAGATCAGCACCAGTATCAATGAGAGCAATAATATTTAATTCAAAATCATCAATAACGAGTTTAACTTTTGAATACCATTTTTTAATATGAATTTTATTGATCAGATTTAGTCGTTTATCTTCATGATTATGAGATTGATGTGATCGATTATCAAATAAAAGATTATCAGGATTAGTATGTTTAGATTCATGTTCAGAATCATTAGGCGATTCAGCATTGTTTTCTTGGAAATTCTCTAGATTTCTATTAAGTTTTAATGTAATAATTTTATCTTCTAAAGCTGTATCTTTATTTTGTAAATCTTTAATGGTTTGTTTAATCTAATTAATTTCATATTGTAAATCCTGTAATGTAATTTCTTTTTGTTTAGTTTTAAATCTTTCTAAGGTTTTGGATAAACTAATAATTAGTTTATCAAACTTAGGTTTCTTATCATGATTGGTTAGTAAAGATTTTAATTTATCAGTATGTTTTTGTTTTAACTCTGGATCTTCTAAATGACTAATTAATTCAATAAGAGCAGTTTCTTCTTGATTTTGTTTAGTAAGAACAGTGATTTGTTTAACTGATTTACAACAAACATCATTACATCCTAATTCAATATCATTATCAGAAATATCACTAGGTGAATGGTAATCAGATGAAGTATCAGGATTATCAAAAGATGAATTATTAACAGATTGGTTTAATTGAAAGATTTCATATAATTGATTTTTTTATTCATCATTAATTTGTAGTTGATTAACTTTATCTTTTATTTTTTGTTTTTCTTTGCATTTATTAGAATAATGACCTTTTTTACCACAATTATAACAGGTAACATCGTTATTAGATTTAGATTTTGGATGTGATTTCTTGTAATATTTCTTTTTTGGTCTAGTATAGAATTTATCAGTGGATTTAGAAGGTGTATAATTCTTTTTATATTTATTAGAATATTTGTAGGATGACTTATGTTTAGTGTATTTATGTTTTTTGTGGCGAGGGAGTGCTACAGGAGGTAAACCATATTGTTTACAGAAGTTACCTAATTCATATTTAGCCTTATGTTTATCTTTAGC